GACGCATATGTTTTGGTTTGAGACAGAGCCCAACAGATCCGAATGAATCACTCACACTCGCACACAATAAATGTCCCCACAATCGGGAATCCGAATTCGACTCAAACAACTTCGCCAGTTGGTATCTGAGAGATACACCGTGAAAAGGGATACCATGCTATATTATTATTGAAGCTACCACCCTCACTTCTTATTCAATGATCATTCGAATTTTAAATAATATTTAACTTGTTGACATTTTGTTTATAGTTATCTTCTGTGTAAATCAGCTATTTATTTAGTGGCATTTTTTGTAAGTTGTTGATATTTCAAAATAAATGTATTTTTGAAGCCCCATTAATTCTGTTTTAATAACGTTTTCATTTCATTTTTCTCAGTATCCATATGTTTCCTGCCTTGGAAATGGGGTGTGGTGGTGGTGACGAAAATAACGCCACAAGAGAACAACAGCAGTAGCGTAAGCGCGGAAAACAAAGTGGGAAAAAGATAGAATTGAAATAAAATGCATGCCATGTTCGAGGAGCTGATGGCTGTCGCTTTTCCCGGCCACATGTGGCGACCCTTGCGGACTGCAATTTCCAGGGAATTATGAAAATTAGCCAAGCCAGAACAAGCTGCTCTCCCTGCCTTTTTTTTCTTATATTTTCTTTTCTCCTTCTCTTCTCGCTTCTTCGCTAAGTGAATTTTGTGCAATGAAAAAAAAAACAAAAAATTATTATTTTATTTGCATACATTTTTATAGAGACAACCCACCGAAGAGTGAACCGAGCACAGCAACGGCCTCCGTGTATCCATGGGATACACATGTGATTTGCATGTGCGGTTCGTCATCGGCTTCATGATCATGATCACTGGCTGTCGACTGTCGGCTGACTGTGGATTGAATGCAATGATCATAACCGTGTGTGTGTGCCCATGATGACGACGATGGCAATAATGACCATTATGGTATTCATAATGTTTGACTGCAATTTACTATTTACACTTCATTTAGCGGCGACAACTTTAAGTGAAATGTGTCCACATTGGCTGAGTAGTTTGCTCGCTTTCCTGTATTTGCCGCTGTATCTGTGAGATACTCGCCCGGCTCTCGACGAGCTCCTGCATGAAAAAATAAGAAATAATAAGCATCGCAATTGAATAAAGCTGCGCCCGCAGCTCCAACTAATTGGCGAATTAGCTCAAGTGTGAGGATAGTCCCGGCAAGTGGATTGTATAAGGAGCTAATCTCGGGAATGGGTTCACCGAGAACTATAGTACTTTACTACCGCCGCCACTCGACTCGAAAAGCTTTTCCCTCTCACATCCATTGAGTAATAAGTCTTGAGTTTATAAGAGTTATTTAGGAATGCGTTTCGTTTGCTAGAAGTGGTTTAAACCTGATTTAAAACAGGTAAGACACTCAGGCTTTATTCACTAAGCATTGCCTGCTTTTCAGCGGCTTCTAACATGAAACATTCTAGAGAGAAATTATAATATCGTTTAACCGATTTTTTAGCAATTTGATTTTAAAAAATATTTAACAAACTCTCATATCAGCCTTTCTCCACCTGCCAAAAATCAAAGTACTACACTCCTGCCCACAATTATACGACACCCCGAAAACTTTAGTTTCGACCCTCGTAGGAAAGTCGGGAAGCATATTACAACAAATTCAAGTATGCTGAATTAAAGCTTAATGAATTCTGCTTAAAATATGATTTTTTTATCTCTGATTGGACCACCCGTTTTTAAATAGCGTTAAAAAAAGCAGAAAAGCCCGATTTTTGCCATGCCTGAAACTGTATCATAGCTATACGACACATGTCAATTTTAACGGCTAGAGGTAATTAATTGGATTCAAATAATTTTTTTTATGTTTCTGGTAACATTTTAATGATTTGGAAATAAAATGCCAAGTGGATGTTTGTTATCCGACGAAAAAAAGGGAAGAATAAGGGCTTACAACGATGCTGGCTTTAATGTAAGCGAAATATCGCAGAAAATGTATCAAATACGTTGTTTTATCCCAAGTTTTTTTAAATTCGGATTAATATGGAGTGAAGCAAAGCTCTGGAAGGATCCCAAGTTGCCCGACCGCCATGAACGTCGCATAATTCTTAGATTTAGCTATTCGATTGCTTGGAGCGCCACACTTGCCGCTAGTTGCAGTCAGCCTGTGTCACGAATGACTGTCTGGCGGACACTGAAATCATCGTAGTACATAGTCAGAGTAGTCTTAAAGACGGCTCCATTCTTAAAAATGAACTACAAAACAGAACAACTAAAATTTTTAGGAAAAAGTCTTGGAGACACTGGCGTCAGTATGACATTTTAACTTATTTTTGATTATACAGTTTTTTTTCAATATTTTTTAGGTAGATAATTTTTTCTGACGAAAAAAATGTTTATCTTGACGGCCCAGATTGGTTTTGACACTATTGGACAGATTTACATGAGGTTAAACTTATTTTTTCAAAACGCTGTTTTGGGGGAGCCTTTCATGCGTCTTAAGCGCTTGATCTGTGCTTCCCAGATCCAAGATGAATAGTGGAGAATACAAAAAAGTATTTCATGATCGTCTTCTAACATTTTTGGAACAACATATGGAAAAATATCATGTTTTTATGCAGGATTCACCAAGTTAGAGAGACCCAGCGCTTCATAAATAATCACAATATAAGAGTTTTGGGTTGGCCACCGTGCTCCCCTGGCTTGAATTTAATTTAAAACATTTAGTTTACTTAAGTCAGGCGAGCTTAGGCCAATAACAAGAAATTTTAGAGTGTCAAGACCCTTAAAAGTGATATTTTGGGTCAAAAGTTTCCATTACACCAATATTTACCAAAAAAGTTTGTTAATTCAATGCCTAAGAGACTTTTTGAGGTTGCCAAGGCTTAAAGTGGCTCTATTAATCATTAAACAATTTTTTATATACCATTAAAATTATAAAATATTAAGTAAATCGAAAAAATTGACATGTGTCGTATAGCTATGATACAGTTTCAGGCATGGCAAAAATCGGGCTTTTCTGCTTTTTTTAACGCTATTTAAAAACGGGTGGTCCAATCAGAGATAAAAAAATCATATTTTAAGCATAATTCATTAAGCTTTAATTCAGCATACTTGAATTTGTTGTAATATGCTTCCCGACATTCCTACGAGGGTCGAAACTAAAGTTTTCGGGGTGTCGTATAATTGTGGGCAGGAGTGTATAAAGTCGTAGAGGGATATTGATTAATATTGGTGAATTCTGCGCTATATATCAGGTAAGTGCTTTAGTCAATGGTATATTTTGTGTCCAAAAATGTCCTTGATCTGTGACCTATAATAGACCAAGGGAGCTTATTTAGGAGAAGAACTAACCACCTTTCGGATATTAACAGCATTCGTATAATGGGCAGTTTGAAAACTGTTTACTGGCTTCTTCCAGCAATATAGGCAATACTATAAAAAAGTCTTAACAGACATAAACAACCATAGCACCTTCAAGAATATTTCGAAAACTTTATGGGCAATGGTTTTCTATTGACCTCACCGATATCAGTTTAATGAATATGCAACCAACTTATCAGTAGGTTTCAGTTTACCCTATTATATATATATTCATATATGTATAAGCTTTTGCCTATTGCGAAACCCTTCAAGACCTCAAGCAAAGTGTGTTATTTGTTTACTTTATATCACAAGTGATGCAAGGCGCTTCCTTTCATTATCTATCATGGAAATTAATGAATGTCCGAAGCGGATATAAAAAAATATATAGGCGCAAAAAAACAGATAGAAATATGTGGGTTATTTCGTTAGTTTGTCTGCCGCGGCGGCTATTCCCAGATCTAGATAGGGAAGTACTAACTTTTTAATTATAACCGCTTGAAAAGAAGAAGCGCCACTGATTTGCCAAAGGCAAGCACAAGGCAGCAGCAGAATGCAAATCAATGGAGTTCGCGTCTGGGCGATAACCTCCTATCATATCAGCAGCAGAATGGGGAGTCTAGAGTCGCCTGGTCTGTCGAGCCTCGGTTTATATAGCATTCAGCTGCTCGGGCCCCTGAACCGCTGTCATGCATAATAGCCGGGAATTACAGGAGGCGAAGACATACTTTTCTTTCGGCTAGAGGTAAAAATAAATAAATAGCACCACTCAGGTGACACAAGCCCCATTCAAAGCCCAGGCTATAGGTATAGCTACAGCTACAGCTAGTCAGGGGCCTATAAATATTCAACAAGTGGGCTGGCGGCTTGTAAGCGAGTTGGGTGTATATAAGCCGCAGTATTTAGTCGCACCAGAGTGTTTGCCATTGCGCATATTTAACCCTTTGGGGTTAAGTTAAACTTTACGATTACGTTTCATAGCGCTTAAATTTTGTAAGCCTTTCCGTTGTTTATCCACAACCGATTCCGATTTGCTGACGCCCTTTTTCCTAGGCTGTTTCAATTGTAACTTTAATTTCCCCATCAACAGTTGCAGCAGCAACAGCAGCAGCAGCAGCGCCAGCAATTTTCTTAATCAATAAACAAATTATAAACATTTATAATGATTGCTAGGCTTATCGGCTGGTAAGCGGTCTTATCAAGGCCACGGCACTCTATTTATAATACCATTATGGCCGACCAATGCGATTTTCAAATGATTTGGTTGCCACACGTGGCACGTGTTTTTCCTTTTTCTGGTTTGCAGAAAGAGGTTTGGTTTTTGCTGAACTTTGACCAGAAATATATCATTTATAACTCGGCCGAAGTGATTGAAATCATTTCAAGTTCATAAAAGCCTATCGCAAATATTTGGGAGAGTTTATGGCATTAAATACTATTTTTAAGTGCAATGTTTTAGGTATTTATAGAAAATATCTCTAGTTCAACAAGCACTTGGAAAAAGTAAGGTAAATAATGTGTTTAACTTAAAACTTGAAGTCATTTTCTTAGAACACTTAAGGAAAGCCCTTCCAGACAGATAAGTTTAATAGATTGCAGTGTTTTCAAATGGTTTTAAAATATAATAATCATTATTTATAGCTTACCAGACTCCTGCATCTCCTGCTCCATTTTTTCCACCTTGTTAACTTTCATTAGCTGCTGCTGCTGCCCATCGGTCACAGTCAGATCCTGCGGATGTTTCATTGTATGGCCACTTTTTATTTACAGGTTACACGCGTTACAAAGGGTTCTCCAATCACATAGTCATAAAGTCATGGCCCGGCAACTGCAAGTGGGGAACGGCAATCGATTAACTGTCATATATCAATCTATTGCTGGACAAATTAAAGTTTTAATGATTGTCCGATAATCGAACTGAAGTATCGCCTGTAAATCTACAAATATACTTGTTCGAGCACACAATGTAGGTGTCAACATGAGTGGTGGACAGCCAAACGCTTCACATTACATGGCCCCCATCGGATATTTTTAGGAGTCATTGGGTTTATGATCCCCAAGCGATATCAGTGATATGCCAGACACACCTGTACTAGCGCTTATTGGGCTTTCATAAACCAAAGCTGTACTCCACCTCTTCAAACTCGAAAAGCCACAAACACAAGCCCAAAAAAAAATACCCGAAATCATAATCTTCAATAACTTTATTGACTGGCCTAGGGCGGCTGATAAAAAAAAGAAGGTAAAAACGTAAAAAAAAGGAACTGCCGATAACGCTGAAACAAAATTTCTGATTATCAGAAATTTATGGTTTCTTCTGCCCATTTTACCATTATGCGAACTTTTTTATTCTCTTTTTGCTCTTTTCGCTCGAGTGCCAGAAAAGCCGATAAGCCCCATGGGCTCTACCGGGCACTAGAGTCTCGTCTCGTCTCTCTCTCGTATTCCCTTCCATAGCTCTCTGTTATCGCTTATCGCTTAGGTATCACTGACGCAGACCCCCTCGGCGACACTGTCACTGTGTCACCTTTGAACGCTCGTGACTGTCGCGAGTCGCTTCAAACTCAGATGGTGCGTTATTTGATGCGAAAACTTGCCTTTGCTTGTATTACAATGTTAAAGAAATTTAAATATTTTCGATACATCGAAGACATTCGAACTCACAAAACTTAATTGCTATTTACAGAGACATATTCCTTATTCTATTACGTCAAAAGGAAATAATGGTTTTTTAAACCGATCACTTCTGTAGTAGCTTAATATACATATATAACAAGAAAGGAAGCTAACTTCGGCACGCCGAAGTTTGTATACCCTTGCAGATTGCTTTTCATATTTATGTCATAAATTATAATGCCGAAAACAGACACTAAACTGAGTTACATACCATTTTACCTATACTCATTATGTTTACAGTTTGACAGTTACAGTTATACATTCCCAGCTTTACATTTTCTCTACATCTGCGGATCGCTTCTATGGCTGCTATATGACATAGTTGTCCGACTTTCATAAAATGTATACCAAAATTCTATAATAATAAGTAAAGCTCATATCTCAGAGTAGATGAAAATACGTTAAAAAACAACGAAGTTATAACTTTTTCTATTACTTTCCCTATCGTTCCTATGGCAGCTATAAGATATAGTCGTCCGATTTTCATAAAATTTTTACCAAAATTTTGAAATAATACCAGAAGCTCATGTGTCAAAGTAGATTAAAATACGTTGAAAAACAACGAAGTTATAATTTTTTTGATTGATTTCCCGATCGTTCCTATGGCAGCTATAAGATATAGTGGTCCGATTTTCATAAAATTTTTACCAAAATTCTGGAATAATATAAAAAGGCTATATCTCAAAAATGATGGAATAATATTGAAAAACAGCCAAGTTAAAATTTTTTTTCTAAAAATTTATCGAACATTTGTATGGCAGCTATATGATATAGTCGTCCGATCCGGCCCGTTCCGACATATATAGCAGTGAGAGTATATAGAAGACTATATGCAAAGTTTCATTCAACTAGCTTTAAAACTGAGGGACTAGTTTGCGTAGAAACGGACAGACGGACGGACAGACGGACAGACGGACAGACGGACGGACAGACGGACAGACGGACAGACGGACATGGCTAGATCGACTCGGCTGTTGATGCTGATCAAGAAAATATATTCTTTATAGGGTCGGAAACGTCTCCTTCACTGCGTTGCAAACTTCTGACTGAAATTATAATACCCTGCAAGGGTATAAAAACAGAGAGATGAGTAAACTGAAAGCTTCAGCTCCAAAACTGAGGGATAAGTTTGCAAATCTTTCCCAGGTTTCTTTGAACTATACTTCATTGGGACGTCAGACATTTCAGTTTAAAAAACCATTACCTAAATACTGGTCTGTCGTTCACCTCGATTGTGGAGATTTTTATTATAAATATTTTATTCTTTTTGTGTTTTAAATATTGATATCCTATTAGTTGCTCCAAATTTTTAAAAATGTGTTCCCGTGATCCGGCTTCAAATCAGTTGATTGACTACAAAACCAATGACTCTGAGGAGCAGAAAGAGTGCACCACTTCTGTTGGAGCTCCGGTTGCCGTGAAGGATGCCATACAGACTGTGGGTCCAAGGGGTCCTGCCCTGCTCCAGGACTTTCACTTTTTAGACGAAGTTATGAGCTTCGATTGCGAGCGAATTCCCGAACGCGTTGCCTATGCCAAGGGAGCTGGAGCCTTTGGTTACTTTGAGTGCACCCATGACATTTCCAAATTCTGTGCAGCCACGATTTTCGATAAGGTGAAGAAGCGCACAGCCATTGCCATGCGTTTTTCAATGGCCTGCGGTGAGAATGGTACGGCGGATACGAATCGTGAGCAGCGAGGATTTGCAGTAAAATTCTACACGGAGGACGGCATCTGGGATATCGTGGGGTGCAACATGCCCGTGTATTATGTGCGGGATCCCTCGCTGTTCCCCAGCCTGATACATGCCCAAAGTCGGAATCCACAGACGCATTTAAGAGATGCAGATATGTTCTGGGACTTTATGACCCTGCGTCCTGAGACCCTGCATGCCCTGCTAATGTATTTCAGCGATCGCGGAACGCCCGATGGATATCGCCACATGCACGGCTACGGAGTGAACACCTACCGCATGGTCAGTTCAACTGGCGAAACGCAGTATGTTAAGTTTCACTTTAAGACTGATCAGGGCATCAAGAATCTGGACAGTCGCCGTTGCGATGAGCTAAAGTCCAACGACCCGGATTATGCCATTCGGGATCTGTTCAACTCGATCAAGAAGGGCAATTATCCCACTTGGAGCATGTTTATACAGGTAATAATTGAAATGAAAAATAATTTGCATAATTAATGTTTTCGTTCAGGTAATGCTCAACGAGGAGGCCAAGAAATGCCGATTTAATCCCTTCGATGTGACCAAAATATGGCCACAGAAGGACTTTCCCCTGCTGCCAGTCGGCAAGCTCGTTCTCGATCGTAACCCCACTAATTATTTTACGGAAGTGGAACAACTAGCCTTTAGTCCGGCCCACATGGTACCGGGAATTGAGCCATCGCCGGATAAAATGCTCCAGGGCCGGCTCTTTGCCTACGGAGACACCCATCGGCACCGTTTGGGCGTCAACTGCATGCAGATCCCGGTCAACTGTCCGTACAGGGTCAATGTGAGGAATTTCCAGCGCGATGGTCCCATGACCGTGACTGACAATCAAAACGGAGCCCCCAACTATTTCCCTAACTCGTTCTGCGGACCCAAGGAAAGTTCCCGGGCAATGGCCCTACAAACATGCTGTCCTGTGACCGGAGATGTGTACCGCTACATGAGCGGCGATACAGAGGACAACTTCAGCCAGGTCACCGACTTTTGGACATACACTCTGGACAACTGCGGAAGGAAGCGACTCATCCGGAACTTGTCCGAGCATCTGACTGAGGCCAGTCAGTTCCTTCAGGAGCGAGCCGTCAAGTTATTCACCATGGTGCACTCTGATTTCGGTCGCTTGATGACGGAGGCCCTAAACACGGCCAAGATATCAAAGTTCTAGGACCCCTAGGAGTCGACTTTTGGAGTATTATCAAAATTAATTTAAAGTCCATGACCAATATATGAATTTCTGTTTAAATTGTTCCGGAATGTTTTGGGTAATGTTGTAGACATTAAACCTACATAATAGTTAATTTTTTAATCATCTTTATATAAGAAAATGGTTTTCTTTTATCTTTCACCCTTTCTGTAACCTTCCTTCAACCGAATTCAGACTGCATACTTTTGGGAATTAGGTAGGCTTCCAGAAAATGATCATACATCCCTAGTATTTGATTACCTAACTGATTACCTAACCAAACCTGTTAACTGTGCTTATCCAAGCTTGATGCCCTTTCGGAGACCTCTTCTCACTACCGCCCACCCGGGAAGATCTATCATTAGCTAGTCGCTTGGTTTGCATTTCCTACACGTGTCTAGGGTTTGTCAGCTTAAATGATATGCGTATACAAATACAGTGCAGTTCATCTTAATATTTTTAAGTGAATTATTAAATACTGCTTCTATTTGAATTGGTAATTTTGTTGTAAATTAAAATCCAAATGTTTGCATGAAACTTGTAGTACTTATACAAGAAATGCAAAATATACCACCGAACCATGGTATATGGAATACGTAAAATGTGGATTTTATAGGAATTTCCCAAAAGAAAACCCATATGCTCACAACTTCAGGGGTACTTTCAACCATAAAGTGTATTTCCATTAAAATATCACACCTTTCACTCAACGAATTACCCAATATTTGCCCTCACTGTTTTGTAACGCACTGTACTGTACACATTCTTGATATAAATGCCAAAAGCTTGTCTAACTAAAGAGTTTAGCAAATATAGACGGGCAGCAATAATAATAAAATAGTAAAAGTAAAGGCTCCCAACCAGTTAGGTGACTGAAGCCGGGACACTATACTTACTTAAAGCTCAGCGGCCAGGCGATATTCTTACTGCCCTCGCTGTTGTTGTTTATTTGACTGCAGGGCTTTTATCAGCTGGTTATTATTATTGTTGTTTTCGATTGTTTTTGTTGCTATTATTTGTTGCTTTGTCGAGTTGACCGCATGAATGAAAAGCGAAAAGGCACGCAGACACTTGTTGATTTCTTTATGCGATTTCGTGGCTCGTTATAATTAAAGTCTCTGCTGCGCCGGTTAATTTTTGTTTCCGTCTCTCCTTTTCGTATTACTTCTTATTATTATTTGTTATTGTTCCTCTTTGTGTTGTGTCTGGAAATATATTTTAATTTTTTGTTTTGGCACAAACACACACGCCACTCGTTTTTTTCGGGGATTTTGTTTTGCCTTTGGTTTTTATTGCACTTGTTGCTGCTGATGGGCTGAGGCGATATTCATCTCGGGCGTTTAATTAAGCCCGTACGAGTGATTTTGCCAGTTGTATAACTGGCACACTGCATATTCATTTATTTCAATCAAAGTGGAATATATAACTTTAACATCTCGCTGCTGTCTTTGTTTTTCAGTTTTCCTTTCCGCCGCCGTCTTCGAACGTCACTTGAATTCAACTACGGCTTCTGTGTTCCGTTACAAAGCGCCAACAACGCTCTCCCTCTCACTTATCACTCGCGCTCTGTCTCTCTCCCACTCTCGCGGCGCTCTCCTCCCAACGCACACACACACGCTGCGACTGCGACTGCGACTGCTGCTGTTACGTAGTTGTTTTTGCCAAACAAAAATTCCGTTTACTTTATTATTTTAATATGCATTAATTGCATAAATGGAGCGTGTTGTGGTTCTTAAGCATGGCTTTGGGTGGGCGGGGGAGGAATGTGCGCGGCTGGCAAACTACAGTTGATTGACCCGCACACACACACGCACACTGTCGCGTTCCAATTGGAGAAAAGAACCCGGCGGACCGATTGACGATTGGCGACTGAAATCAAAGTCGCCAAACCGAACGAAAGAGGGGGTGCAAGTGAAACTAAAACAACAACACACACAGCCCCACACAACGCAGCGAATGGTGAAAAACGCGTGTGGAAAACAAGCGCCGATAATATCACATTTTGTTGTTAAACTTCTGTGCAACAGAGTTCGAAACGGAGCCACGCGAAAATAGCAACAAAGCGATTTGCTGAGAGTGAGAGTACTGTCCGTGCGCCTGTGTTTGTGACTTCTATCACGTCAGATTTTCGCCGATCTTCTGCGGTGCGAGGGCTGCCAGATGGTTGCAAAAAGGGCTGATCTGGTGGCATTGCACAGTGGGTGGGGCTATATGGACACGCAGCCAAAATACTTTCACGAGATTAATACCAAAAATCAATAATGCTGTTCAAGAATATATGAAAGACTATTTCGGGACTTCTGATCAAAATTGTATGTCAAACCCCCAAATTTTAAATCCAAAATTAAGTTAATTGGTTATTAAAATATTAAATATTATTATTAATATTATTAAAATTTGGATTGGTTAAAAAAGTTATGTACCAAATTTCAAACTGATTGGTCTGTAAATTTAAAGTTAAACTAAGTTAAGTTTTAAAAATGCCATTTTTCAGGAGATCATTTTTCGGTTTTTATTATGTGAGACATTTGCGACATTCAACAATATATTTTTAGAAAGTCCCGTTAGATATCCAAAAAAATCTGCCAGAATTAAGCTTGGAGACGATTTGTTTAGCTTTCGTACATTTTTGTCGTTATGATTTTTTTTTTAATTTTGAAATATGGGCGCAACCACCGTGCATTGCTAATTGTAGAGTTGCCAAGTCATCCACTCTGGAAAAGCTTTCAAAGAGCGCTAAATTTAATTTTGTCTGTGACAAAAATCGTCCAATCTTACATAAAAAACTTTCTTGAACAAGCATTTTCATAGCTAATTCTATATTTTAATCAAATTTCCTGAATTTTACCAAGATGAAATAAAGAACAAATCTCGAAAAATTATAAAAACCTTTTCAAATATGTTAGAAAAATTGGTTTATTGAGATATTTTTTTTTTTTTGCCGTCTAACTGGTATAGTGGGTCACTATGGGTATACATATACATATATTTGTTGGTTTTACATAGTTATTAATTAATTGTATATGAATGCTCACTACGATTATAAAATATATATAAATATACTTTTAAATTGTACATGTTTGAATATTTACAGTTAATTTAGCACATGTACCACATGATTGTGTGTTAAATAAATATTAAATTAGCATAAAGCATACAGCATAAAGCATATATAGCGTTTTAGCGATATAGAGAGAGGGGAGCTCCGAATGCATGTCACTTTCTCCATTAATTTATGAAATGCGCTTTCTGGGCGACGACATTTTAGTGGTTTTACACTTGGTTTTGTATATATCATATTACGTATAGCTTTAACTAGGTAGAAGAGTGTACTCCGAATACGATTAGACACCGTTTAAGTTAGTTTTAAGTTTTGGGGGGGGGAAAGTAGAACGTAAATTGCACTAGGCCTTAGATTAGACATAAGCTTAAATTGTCATGTGCTGGAACTTGAATACAGGTACGAATTAGCAGCGATCCCGGTTGTTGTAGGCCTGCACCTTGGCCACGGTGCACTCGAGGGCCTCCCGAATCTCAGTGAATACGGGCACGCCCTGGCGCTTGGCCAAGTCGATCAGGTACGACCGTCCGCGATTGTAGTCTTTGATGGCCGCCACCGTCAGCTGTGGGAAAAATATGGCAATAAATGAGTACAAATACGTTGGAATTAAGTGTTATGAGAAACGCACCTTCTCGCCACCCAGGACGCAGTCATCGGGCAGCATCTGCACCGCCAGCACAACGTTGTACATGAGGCCGATGCAGTGAGCGGCCAGTGTCATGGGGGCCAGCGAACGCGTCTCATTCGTAATGACGAAGAGCAGCACTCGGCTAGAGTCCAGCAGCGATGGGTTGTACAGGCTCTGGCGCACTGCCACCGGTGGCAGGGACCAGCTGAGCGACTCCTCAGCGACGGTCAGCTCCTCTTGCTCTTCCAACTGCAGCTGGTTACCCTTGCACTTTCTTCGCGTGCGCACAAACGATCTCTGCTGCTGCTGTTGTTCGTTAGGCGCTTGCTGTTGCTGTGCGGCAGTTGCCTGCTCCTGGCTTTGATCCTGGTTCTGCTGCATCAGCTGGATACTCTCGTGCAGGGCCGGAGTGTGGAAGCTCACATTCTTCGACTGTAGATACGGAACAGCCAGCTCCGTACGCCACTTGGTGCGGAGGACACAGCTTCCGCCCAGATAGACATCCCGGAGATCTAGCCCACCACCGCAACAGAGGGCATCGCCGGCACTGGCTATTGAGCTGCTGCTGGAGAAGACCGAATCGTTGGAGTCGCTTTCCTCCTCCTCGGCGGGCGTAGAGACTAATTGGGCAGCCGTCACAGCATTGGCCTTGGTTTCTATTGTTTTGGTTGTGATTATTTCGGTTGTTTCGATCGACTCCACATTCAGCAAAATCTGTGGCCTGGGACTTTTACCTAAGCTTCCCGATGCCGCCGTGGGCTGGGGCGACGAGGTGCCGCTATCCCGGCTACGGCTGAGCTGCTCGAACAAATTCTGCCGTTCTAGGTCATGGCCAATACCACTGCTGCTGTTGGACGGAACGCTGGCGTTGCTCGAAGTGCGCGAAATATTCTTGCTGGCCGAGTAATATATGTCAACGTCGGGAGCTGTTTCAATTAAGGATAATAATTGTATTAATAATAAGTCCCTGTTTAGATCTCATTCTAAATATTTACCATTTGTGAAGTAGACCTGCGGCGGCGGTACATTAGTGCCCTTAATGGGCGAAATACACCCGCTTTCGTGGATCTCCTGCTGCAGGACGGACAGGTAGGCCGAGATCACACAGAACAGATCAAAGTCGATGAGTTCCTGGCTGGGCAAAGTGGGCTGGATGCAATTGCTGCCCTCATCAGCAGCACTCCCGTCCAGATTTTCAACGCCAGCTTTGGGACTGTGCGTTTGGAGCAATTTCAGCGATTCGCGTTGATTGATTATGATCTTAGTTAGATTGTCTAAATTAACTAAACTCTGAGCATAGCCTAGGAATAAGAGAGCACGTTTGCACTGTTCCACAGTGAGCAGATCGCTTTGCGGATTCACGCGATCGAAGGCGCCGCGAACGGTACTAAAAATTAGGGGGAAAAAATCAAATTAGTTTTGTTAAATCATTTAATAATAAATTCTAAGACACTCACTCTAATATAGAAGATATTTTGGACGGTGGGTCTCGGATGCCAGATAGAATTTCCTTGGTACGATGCAAGCCCAAGGGAATGTTATCCAATACAGGCAGGCCGCGACGGGAGACCAGCTCCTTAAGTATCAATTGATTCCGATATAGATCGAGGTATTCTCTGAAAATGAAACAAACGAATTATGTATTTAATAATATTGCAATTTCTTGGATTTTTTTAGAAATACTTACTGCTGTGAAATAGGCTCATTCAGGATCTTCTGATTTGGTTTATACGGATGCAAAACCAACACCAGCTGCTTGCAGTTTTGACCCGCTATGTGTGCCGCCTCGATGGCACCAGCAGATGCGCGTGTTTCCGAATCCATAACGAAGAATAATACACGGGCCTTTTCCTTAGCTCGATGCTCCAGCTCTATAAGATCGGGCGTCCAATCGGATACTTGCTGTTGGTCAAATCCAAACAAGAAATAAGTGGGATATTCTCAAAATATATATTAGTTTAAAGGACTCACAGGATTGTAGAACGAAATGCCCAACTCCTTGAGGGCTGGTATGGCAACGTCGGCGCGCCAGGTGGTTGGATTACAGGAGCCGCCGAGGAAAACCTCCACAGGCTCATTGCTGGCGTTTTTCTTCTTTTTGGTGTCATCTACACTGCTGAAGGACTTGGTGCTCCGCAGCTCGGTGCCATGGTTATCGGACTTCTTGTTGCTGTAAGCAGGTGACGACGATTGGGCGGCAGCTGGCGATTGCAGATGCTGCTTGGAGGAGGTGGAGGAGCTGGCAGGATCATCTTGTTCCGGGAGTAGTGGCTGGTAATCACAATAAGACGGCTGATTCGAAATTGTTGAAGCTCTGGGAATTTAAAAAACATCCTGGTAAGTAAAGTTAGGTAAGGAAAAAGCTCTCACATTGACCTACCTGAAACGCTTCAGATCCGCGGCTAGAACACAAAACTGGCCAAAGGTTAAGCCATTCGCCTGTCCACTTCCACCCTTGCGGGCCACCTTCTTGGCCGTTTGCAGCATTTCACTTACTGAAACGGAAAACATAACTTTAGATATTTCTATTTTTATTTGGATAAATCTAAAAAGTACTCACTTTGCTTTTGGCTAGGATGGAAGCTTAGCTCGTGGAAGAGCTCCTGGGTCCGCTCGTCGGGCACCACATTGCACCGGGCCTTCGCACGCCATGCATTCAGCACTTCTCTGTAAGAAATAAAATGAAGGAGAAGATCATTAGCAAATAGTCTCTTTCATTTTTATCGTTGCTCAATATTTAAAAATAAACTGCCTTGGGTAATCGTTTATTGAACGATTTATGGCCTTATTAAACAATTACTCGATTTATGTGCCTGTGGATGCGATACATTGTGCAATTTATTGTTTTATTACTTTGCTGGAAGATACAGCAACTATTTTTAGCATATCGTAAATTTAAAGTTGAAAAAACTAAGCGGAAATATTGTTTTCATTATGTTTACTTTGAAAAGCAATACAATTTACACTTATATTCTGGGATCACAGCAATGAACCCATCCAAGGACTCGAGTGTTAATCAATTCCGTATTATAATAAGCGTAGGAAACTGTATAAATCTCAGTATATATCAAAATTTTACGCCAGTCACGTTTCTTGGGGCGACACATGTTTTAAAGCCACCATTTTGAGTCATGTAAAAACGAAAATGGAATAACAAAGCTCAAACAAAAACTTTAATAAAAATATTTATATTCAAAAGTATTACAATATTTTTGCGGATGCCTCGTCGAACTCTTCCTCATTGTCCGACCTTTGGCCAGACATCGTCGTCACCATCAGCATCAGCAGTAGAATCACCAGCAGGAAAAACATTGGCAATTGCATCATTTGTGCAATGGAAATTTAAATATCGCGTATACGTAACGTATGTCAGCCACGAAAGGGAGAGAACAGATTGTAACGGGCTGGAGGGCA